GATTCATTGCTGATGTCAGAGCGATCTTGACTGCAAGCAGAGAACACCAGGGCAAGTTTTACCTGTGTTTTGTTGACTATGCGAAACATGCAACTGTGTGGAATATAGCAAATTATGGACAACATTGCAAAGAATGGTAATTCCAGAACAGTTAATTGTGCTCAAACAGAACCTGAACAGAGAGCACGAGACAGCGATGTGACTCGGACCAGAAAGTACTTCGTGGTTTGAGTCAGGAACTCTGGGTCTCAGGGTTGCTTCTTTGCACTGTGTGCATTCAGTCTGCATGCTGAGCCCACCTGCGACCCGGGGCCCCACAAAGAAGAGCACAGCATGAAGACTGGAGGAAGATGTGAAACTGCAGAGAAATATTTCATTTGAGGTGAATTAATGATAGCGCTGCTTTAATCCGAAAGCCATGAATTTCTACCTTAAGAATTGAAAAGTAGACTGTAGCATGAAGAATAGTTACACCAAAAAAATTCATGTTTGACCTACTATTTTTTAAAAAAATCAAATATTTCATTTCTAACCAGAATGCTCCCAACCATCTTCCTATAATCCTGTTTTGAAAGCAGTGACATTCGTTCCAGGCCCAGGAAACAGGCACGTGACGCGGAAGTCAGCAGGGTGTGGGTTCATCGTACTTTCAAATCAGGAGGAGGAGCCTCCACTGAGGTGCTTTTCTTCACACTCTGTAGTCAGGTCGAGAAATGAAGAGTGATACTCTTAAAGTCAGTAGGTCAGGCAAACGGAATGTCTTTTTGTCCCTGGGGTTTCAAAAGTCTTTTTGCCGACTTCTTCCCTCAGACTGAAACACTGCTGGAAGAGAATCATTATCCTTCGTACTGGGGGAAAAAAGAAATGCTTCAAGTTCTTGCTTTCATTTGTTCATCGTCTGGAGACAGACGTTGTCTCCGTCTCTCGTGAGATGCCACTCAGTCTTTACCACCTCCTCAAAGCACTGCCACTCAACTGCCCTTACAAGCATATTCTCAGCACATGCTGCCCATACAAGCAGATTCTCAGCACATGCTGCCCATACAAGTATATTCTCAGCACATGCTGCATCACCTCTCAACCTTATCTTTATCCAAGGCAATGTATGGTCAACTTGTGAATTAGTGCCTTGAGTAGTCAACACAGTGCACAGAAGAAGAAGCTGTCACTCGTATTAAACGACAGGCAGTCTCACATATCACTCCTAACTCGGGGTCCTCTTTCAGCCACTTCTCTGTCCCTAGCCCTCTACCACTCACGGCTGCTTAGCACAGTGAATTCATCAAGGTGGGGCACGCAATTGTTAGCTGGCAGTTTAAATGGGGCAGACTTGTCACAAGACTGACAGCCTGGGCGATGGTTTGCCCTCTGGGAATAGGTGCACGCAGGTTCAAATGAAACACATCCAAATACTAACAGCGAGATTCTTAATCATGTCAATAAAAGGAATGTACTGGTGTCTCAGATTCAGTGGGCACAATGTGCCTCGGACACTTTGGAAGATGAAATGCTGTCTGGCTTTTCAGTGGGATGTTCCAAGGAATCCATCATGTGGGGATCGCTTTTAATACGTGCAACGTTCTTTGCTGAGTGAAATCTCTAACATGGACATTGATACAGCACGTGCTGACAGCGCTGTGGTTGAATAACACAAGGGCAGGTTATCGAAATAAAAGAATGAAAACTAAGAGAGCTACGAGGTATTGGAATGAAATACTAATAAACTGAGATTTTACTTAAGAACAAAGGCAGTATTTTAATATAGCTCATCTTTAAATTTTCAAGGGTTTAAAATTAGACATTATATGTCATGATAATTTCATTATGAACCTGTTTAAAATATTGTATATTCTCTATCAATATACTTGTGGTTCTGTATATGTAGTTTCTTCTATTAAGATTCTAATAACTATTATATAGTTTAAGTGTAAATTGATACGTTATTAACAGAAATCTGATATTTTTTATGTTATCAAGGTATTGCTTAGGGAGAAAAAAAAGAAAATTTAGATACAATGATGAAAAAGTCCATTTCTTATATCTTCTATTTAAAAACAAACTTAAAAGCCAAGCAGAGGGTAGAGAATAGGATAAGGAGAAGACTTCATGGTAAATGCCTCTCGTGTATATTCTTAAGCAAACCAAATCATTTTATAAAAGAAGTTGCATCAGATAAGCAGATAATTTCTACAATTAAAATCCACATGATTCATCTAAAACACAGAGTCTGAATTTTGCATCTTCACTCCATTGTAGTTATTTAATCTCACAATTTCCAAGTTACTTATTTACAAAATGGGCATTAATAGTACTTGATTTTTTTAAAGGTCGCTTCAGGCAAATGAAATAGATCCTGTAAAATGTTTACAGTTAGAAGTCCTAATAAACAAAGCCTACCATGTGACCCACTGCATCATCAATTAATTATATGATGTAGTCACAAACTTTGGATCAGAACTACTTCTATGTAAGCAGTTTTTCCATGTGAAAGCTTATCTAACACTGTCAGTTAGTCAATAATTACAGGTCTAAAGATTAAAGTGTCCACCAAGGAACATACAAGTCCTACCTACAACATTCTGTTTGAATATAAAACATTAGTCTGTCTGAGAAAAAAAAAATAAATAATAATAATAATAATAATAAGCCCCCAAACAAGGTGAGCATGCAGCCTACAAAGCATTCTTAACACAGACACGTCGATAAACGTACTGAGATATTATGAAACCAGTAAAGTAATAAGTCGCCATTACTGAAGAAATAAAAATTAAAAGTCCTTTGGATTGTGAACCACTGATACTTATATGTAAATACACTTCCAGCTGTTTCCAGGCTCCAGTCATTTGTATAGTTTCTTTAAACTTATTGACTCTGTTGACATCATGTATCCATAAAATTAGTTAACATTTTTATGTCATATGGGAATATAAACATAAATCCAGCACTCACATCCAAATTCGGAAAGGAAATTATATATTTTAAATATCTAAGTTAAGAAACATTAAAAAAAATTCTTGACATGGACAAGTGAATAATTCCAGTGCCTCATCGGCTTTTTGGACGCATTTCAATTGACAGTGAAATTTTTCACTAATACCATTAGTGAACATTGACACCATCGACTCTTGATTATGTGCTACATCTTGAAGTGGTCTGAATGCTGACCAATTCTTTTGGGTACCGTGACTCTGGGCATCCCTTCCGTCTTCTTTTGATGCTGCTCAATCAATCAATATTATCCCCCATAGAGCCTAAATACTGCAATCTGAGCTTGGTTTTTTTCTTCAGATCTTTCAGCTTGAGATATGCTATGTGTACTCTTTCCTTTTCGTTTTCTAACTCCAGATCTTTTCTCATTTCATTATAATGCTCTGTTTTCTCGAGCTGCCTTTTGAAATTTTCTGTTCAGGTTTTTTCTTCATTTCCCCACTTCACTTTAGCTATTGTATGTTCAATAACCAGGTTCAGAGTCTCTTCTGGCATGCTTATTGGGGGTTTGTTTCTTTCCAGTCCTTTAAATGACCTTTCGCTTTTTGTGTGTATTGTGTTTTTCATATCATTCTATAACTCTGGTAGACTTCAGTCATTCGTGTTAAATCTGTTCTTGAGACACTCTCTAAATTCAGGTGAGATATGCTCAAGTTTGCATTTTGTTTCTTGTGGAATTGTCATAATTTTCATCAGCTTCAACCTGAATGCACATATGAGCAATAAGGACCTGTTCCACAGCTGGTCCCTAGCCTTGCTGTCTCTGGTCTCCACTGTCTCTTCTTAACTATGTAATTAATGTGACTTCTGGGTGTTCCATCGGTGAGGTCCAGGTGTACAGTCACCTTTTATGTTGTTGTTCTTGCAGAACCCCATCATTCAAAGTCCACTTTCGCCTGTCAGTTTATGGCACCGTGCTGGCTTGCAAGTCGCCGTGACACTGGAAGTGATGGCGCTGCCATTTAAACCCCAGCAGAGCTTCCCAAGGTGAGCAGGATTTGTTGGCACTTCTAGAGTAAGAGTAGACTAAAGATTTGCCACTTAAAACCGTGTGAATGTTAGACTAGATTTACTTAAATTCTTTTTAAGGATTCTAGAAAATAGCCAAAGAATTTTCTGCTGTGAATACTTGATTGCATGATTTACTTTTATTTTATATAGGATATTCATAATCTTATAAAATACATATTTTTAGATTTTAGACAGAAAAAAAATGAGAGACGGAAAAATGAGGGAAGTAGACAGCAAACCAAAAAGTTTCATATTGTAATCTCTTGATCTAGTCAGAAGCAAAGGGCAAAGGCAACTATAAATTGAAGTCTAGGGATCAGTTATTTTTCTTATGGATGCTAGGCCAGAATTCACCTGGAGAGATGCTTGATTAATTATGAACTACTTGGTAATTAGTGATAGAACAGAGAGAAAATTGCCACTTTTTTTCACTGTTCAGAATTTAGTACATTAAGGTCTTAATAATCCATGGTACATCCCAGATCATGAGGGTTCTTTCCTTTGAAACTCTGGTACTGAATAGTCAGTTTCATTTTGCACTTGACCATTTTGAAGATCGCACCTTTGTTAAGATGAATAATTCTTCCATGAAACTAACGTGGCACCTTGCTGTGTTCAAGGTCACTTTTAAAACACTGTAAAGCAGAGATCTCCAACCTTTAATTGATTATGAGTGGATTTTAATTTTTCAAAAGCTATAAAATGAAGTGTGTGTATAGGGAACCATTTGGGATAAAAAAAATGGTGACTCTTTAATTAAACAAAAGCATCATTACAGGTGCTTTTGATACCCTTCTGAAAAGTCCCAAGAAAATAAAGAAAAGATGTAACAAATGATCCCAGTACTTAGACAGCTATGGAAGGTTGATTAAACAGTATTTCTGGTTTGGGAACTTTGCCCTAGACAACCCTTAAAAAAGGACTCGCACACGAAGTCTAATGAAGTGTAATAAGTACACACCCTAAACAGGCTACGTCATATGAGAGGCTCAACCACTCACCTTGCTTATCGTCTTCAAATTCATCATCAGAGCACCCATCACTCTCATCTTCCACACTGTCCTCGGCACCTGGCGCCGTCTGTGATGAAGTTTCACTCTCCTTTTCGGGGTCCAATTTGTCTTTTTCATCATCTGAGGGTGACTTTGACGTTCCACTCATTTGATCCTCCGCCTGTCCTTCTTCATTAGTGTTCTCGTCTGGCTTCTCCTCGTCTGCTTCAAAGTCTTCCTCATATTCTGATAAAAGAACGTCTCCAGTAAGAGAATGAAAATGGAATGCCTAATACTTAACTCAGTTCCCTTTAATGAGAACTTTGAATCCATTAGCCTCTCCTCTCTAGGCCTTCGTTGCTTATTTTTCACACAATTAGCGAACATGGAAAACTAGCAGCAAATGATCAAAGATTGCAATCAGTTACATATACAGAAGCACAAAAGAAATGAAGCTCCAAATGACAAGGCTGAAACTTAATGGGAGTTCATTTCTACATGGACATCATTATCTACAATGACAAAAATGGACAAGAGAAGAATTTGATAGAAAACAATACATTAGAAATAAATTAAATATGAAGAGAACAGAATGATAATAATGGAAGTTAATTTGGAAACCCGGTGAGGTCATGAAGAATGGTCAAAACATTTGGATATAAAGTTAGTGAATAATGAAGTGAAAAATTCAATTAATCAAGTCAAAAGGCCTAAGCAGCAGCATGGTGGACAGCTCAGATTTTGAAATGCAAGTGGACACCAAGCAAAGACATTGCGAATGATTCTATACCGAATCCAGATCTAGCATTGGAAGCATTATTCATTCTTACAGTAATGAAATAATTGCATTCCAAAGATAAAAATTCTTAGAAAATGAAATATTCCTCCCATGGCCACTAATTTGCTGCATTCCCTACAGAGGTGCAACAAATCTGTAGCAGAAAAAGGAAATTGTCATATCAGATAATCTCCAGCTGTCCCTTGTGGTTATAATTTTTCACCTTTCATATTTAATTGTTCCTCTTTATCGTTACACCAAAAATGAAAATCTTGAAATGACAACTTGCCAAAGACAGAGAGCAAAAGGATCTCATGCAGAACCAATTAAACAAATAAACACTTATCTTCAGAAGAAAAGAATTAAAATGAAGATTTCACTATTTTGTGTGTTTTCAGTGTTAGATATTCTGACTTCTTCCCCAGTGATGTGAACCTGTCCATTCTATTACAATGAGAGACTTAATAGCAACATTTATCCCCTGCTCGTCCGAAGAAGGTTTTTTTTTTTAAGCAGAGAATGTATGAGAAAGATGTAAGAGGAAAAATAAAATAGAAAACTGTAAGGAATAAAGGCAAGCAAATAAAAATATTTCCTGGAAGAGAGTTAATAGGGGGGCAAGAAATATGAATTAATTTCAGAAAATTAAAAGTGTAAAATTAGCAAGAAGATGAAGAATTTGGTTTATCGTGCATGATACAGCCAGCCAATAGTGTGTATAGGAATATTTTGGTCCAAATATTGCAGATATAGCTACAGGATAGCTCTTCCTTTGGCACCATTGCTATTCAATATCAAATTTTATTTAGAAAATTCTATGTGGAAACAGATCAAATTGTCAAGTAGGATATATTATAGTAAAACCCCTGCCATAAAGGAATTAGAAAATAAGGTACAGGTACACAAGAGATGATGTATTCGTATTCATTTCAATGCATGATCTTAAGTAATGCTAGTTCCAAACATCACTAGCCTCTATTGCTCTGGAGTTTTATAGAGGACACATGATTTCTATAGGCCATATGAGGTGATGCCACATAAATAGAATGGAAGCAAAGGAAGATTGAGAACGCAATTTCAGGGGATCATGGAAGGATTCATAAAAGTAGGAGTGGAGACTATTCACAGAATACACATGCAGACACACATGTATACCACTTTAAAGATATTTGCTACTATTCCCAAAACAAGCAGGAGGTCACACGGAGCATAACTGAATTGCTGCAGTCCTGTCAATAGCAGTGTACAGGGTGGAGCCTGCGGGCTTTGGACTTAGCAGCCACGTCTCTCAGTTGAAACACTTTCTGGCTGTGTGATCTTCAACAGTTGACTTCACTATCAGGCTTCAGGTTCTTCATCTAGAGCAGCGGTTCTCAACCTGAGGGTCGCAGCCCCTTTGGGGGGTTGAACCCCCCTTTCACAGGGGTCACCCGATTCCTAACAGTAGCAAAATGACGAATGATGAAATAGCAACGAAAATAATTTTAGGGTTGGGAGTCACCACAGCCTGAGGCACTGCATGAAAGGGTGGTGGCCTGAGGCAGGGTGAGAGCCACTGCTCTGTATCCTGGGTGGTATCTGACTCACAGAGCTGTGACCAAATATTGGAAACAGTTATTTCTGAAACAGGGTTAGAAGACTCTCAGGAAGAGCACACACCTAATAAACATACGGGATTGTAGGAACAGTGGCTGGGGCTGGAAGGTGGAGGGATTGGAAGACAGGAGAAAGCACACATACCATGTGCTGTACTGACATCAATACCGTCTAATGGAGACACGAATGAGGCTTGGAGAAGTACAAGCGTACACAGTGACAGGAACCGTTGTCGATACATAATATTGAAGGGCCATATAGTGAATCACAAAAATAGTTCCCGTATTCTATGTTGCAGAAGTGTCTGGGTTTTCTCTCAAAATACAAAATTTGGGACTGCCGTAAGCTATGGTGACATGGTGGGTCCTGTGTGGGACTGCGGGCAATCAGGTCAGGAGTTTTAAACACTAGCTCCTCTTGGGAGGAAAACCCGGCTTTCTATCTAAAGGTTACTATTCTGGAACCCACAGGAGGGTAACTGTGTAAACATGAACTGTGTAGACATGAACTCCGGGGCAAAGAGACACTTTGAGTTTTGTCTTTTGTTCTTCTCAGGACCATCCTCCCACCTAAACATTAACCTTCAGCTAACCACAAGCAGTCCATTCGCTTTAGAGCTCAAAACACACCCCTCTGGATCAGCTTCTCCCATTTTCCATATGAATAGTGAGTGGCGTGGTGTTCTAGGTTTCTTTATATGATTTTGTCGGTTTCCTCCACCTCATTTTCTTTCCTCTAGGGAGCTTAATTAGCTTATTGTTTCTTATTCCCCCCTAATGAGGAAGTAAGTCAACACCAGGTCAACATCTATCCAGCTGCTAAGCGACCCCACTGACCTCCACTTGAACTTCTTGTTGCCTTTAGAATCACTAGCTGTTCTGTAGTTCAAGCCCTTGCCTTTTCTTTTCTAAAATAGGATTGTACATTTAGTCTATTACCTAGCAATGCAGAATAGAGATTTTGGGAGCAAATTCTTATGATAGGTATGAAATACACCACTCAGCTCTGTCCATGTTGCTTTTAGGAACCCCCTCCCCCCCACACAAACACCAAATTAAGAAAATGCAAAGCCTTTATTGAACAGTTTTTAAAACCCCCATCTTGAAAGTTAAATTACACCACCACCCCCAAAAAAAACCCAGTTGTTAATCCACATGCGGTAGTTTTTGTTATAGTTAAATGTTCAGACCAAAGTAAGACTGAAGACTAGAAGGGATGGTACAGGTCAACTGGGTAAAGTATTATCAGTGAAATAACTATGAGTCACAAACATAAAATAAAACCCAGTCCTTCATTGCTCTGTACTCATTTTTATTTGGGGGGGGGGTGCAAAATTCTGAAACTCTTGAATAACAAAATGAGGAAAAGAAGAAAATCTACTTGGACCCCGCCTCTCTCCTGCTAAGACTTTCTGCAGCCATTCTAGCCCTGGGCGACTGCTTCACCAGGCAGGCTTTGCTCCTGGGCATAACAAGGACACCCAGGCCAATCATCCTGATACTACCGCTGATGGCTTACACTAAAGAAGGGGCTGTCCAGTGTTAAAAGTACGAGCTTTTGAATTAGAAAACTCTAAATATGAACCCTAAAATTCTGTTAATTTCTTTCTATGACATTGAACGAGTTATGCCCTTTGAGTCTCTGTTTCCCAACCTATCAAATGGAAGTTGTCATAATGCCTGTCATGTGGGATGGTGAAAATAAACTGAGACAGTGTGTAGTAAGTGCCTGGCAGAACACTTAGTAACTTGTATTCTTCTGTTATCTTTACTGTTAAAGAAGATTCTCTCAATCTTTCTCTCTTCAGTGTGTGTGTGTGTGTGAGAGAGAGAGAGAGAGAGAATGACTGTGTGAACACAAACAAAGATCATTAGACAGACAGATGGATGTTAGATAAATAGATAAACAGGAAAGCAAGAAAGACAAGAAAAAGAGTCGAGGCAGAGTGTCACAGATTCCTCAGTGATACCATATTAACAACAGGTGAAAGGTCGTTTGGCAAATGTCAGCAGTCACAACTTTAAAATAAGCAGTAACAGCAGGATAACAAAGGAATGCCATGTTCTTGCTTACCATATTTGAATGCGTTTTCCTGGTCATCCCCCCAAATGTCTTGTCCCGGTTTTCCTTTACTTTCCATTTCTTCCACAGCAGTTCTCACTTCTCTGACCTGTGTTTCTTCTTCTTGAGCAGAAAAAATGGCTGAGCCCAAAGCTCGGTTCCCTTCAATCTCATTCCCTCTTGGTGCCATGTACTCTTTCCCCTTCCTTAATTTCTCTCCATCCTTCTTTAAGTCCTCTCTTTTCTCAGCATTTTCTTTTCTGGTTCTTGATGAAGATGGTTTTTTGTCAAGCCCCATTGCAATAATGCACCTATAAAATATTAACACGCAGTGTTCATTAACCTTTATATATGGCATTGTGGAAATTCTAAGCTTTTCAAATAACATATGTCTTATTCTAATATGAAATTTTATGAGAAATAGTTTTATTATGGAACACAGAGGCTAATTAAGCATAAAATATTTTCTCTTCAGTGATACTAAAACCTTATGACTGAGCACAACAAAATCTTTTTGGTTTGGTTGGTTGGGTTTTTTTGTATTTTTTATGGTAATTAAAAAAAATTTTATTGGGGGCTCATACAACTCTTATCACAGTCCATACATACATCAATTGTGTAAAGCACATTTGTACATTCATTGCCCTCATCATTCTCAAAACACTTGCTCTCCACTTAAGCCCTTGGCATCATCTCCTCATTTTTCCTCCTCCCTCCCCATTCCCCCCTCCCAGCACAACAAAATCTTAATGGTCTTATCCATAATAATAAACAAGAAACAATTGAACAACTAAAAACTATAGTCCTAAAGTAAAACCTTGGCTTTAAAGTCTATAGGTGACCTCCTATCTGAATCCAGTATACATACATATAATGCAAGGCCTTAAGTAAAATATTTGTGATAACAGAGTATTCGGGTTCGCCAGCATTACAATGCAGGTGAAATGAACGCAATCAGAAGGAAAAAGATGTCAATCTCAGCGTGTGTGCTATTCTGAGAACATAACGAGAGCTAAAAAACAAAAAGCGTATAGCCAAAATTGACTCTAAAGAAATATGATTGATTTTTCAAAGAAACATATACAGTCAAATGGTGTGCCCTTTGAGTAAAATCACCCCAGGAGCCTGCACACTTATTCTAATAGAACTGCCATTATTGTTTGCAGGCCATTATTGTTTGCAGGCCTTTTGAAGCCTGTACTACAGTCTTTTGATATTTTTTTTCTGGTAATAAACTTTTGTTCTTTTAACATGCCAGTGTTATAGAGAGATATTCAAGGTCAAATCTGATGAACCAACAAGATGATCAGTGCATTGTGTCCTTGTAGGAAATATATATTTTAATCAGTTTTAATAAACAAATGTTTATTAATAAACAAATGTTCTTCTAAAGCTCTTTTCCCATGTCTGAAGATAATATCAAAATAATAATTCCAGTAATTGTCAAAATATGTTAATAAAAATAATAATCATTATAAAAGCATTGATTCAAATCCACCAAGTAAGGATATATATATAATCGGTAAGATAAAGTATATATATATAGCACATAGCAAAAAGCCTGGTACAGAGTAAATGCTCAATAATCTTATCATTATCATAATCACTATCCCAAAGACTTATGAAATAAGAGTTATCATTGCCATTCTACCAGTGAGAAAACTGAGGTTTAAAGGGTTCCATAACTTTCCCGAAGTTAGAAGATCAGTGATGGAGCGAAAAGTCCAGCTCAAGGCTGTTTGACTCCACAAGTTCCCTCTCACTGCATTATAAACGCAGTCGCTGTCAAGTATACCTCATGGTGATTCATGTATGTCAAGTTACAGCTATGTTCCATAAAGTTGTTGATGGCTAATTTGGGGGAGAAGAAAATCCATAGGTTTATTTTTTACAATGGGATCTTGCATTTTCCTCCCCACAAAAATTCATCTTCATTAAAAACTGGGAAATGTTCAGGGACTTCTGAGTGGACTTGAAACTCCAAACCTCGATTAGCATAAAAGTGTGGTAACTACTTGCAGCACACATGGACTCCTTATATTGAATCAAAACCATCTTACTGTATTACTAGAAGTGCTCTTGAGATGACTAATGTTAAGACAAATGTTACACGATTGGTCTTACCACTAGATAAAATCTTCACACTTTCACTCTCATTAGGACCTATCAATAGAAGTTTCCACTAAACAAAAGTCTGGAGATAATCCAGTACCTGAAAAGATATTGGCTCCATCCACACTAATTCTTCTCTGGAAATATGAATATATATCTATCTATCAGTAGAACTGAGGCAATTGTGTTGATGGGTAATAAAGGCACCAGAATAATAAAGTCAGTCAAGACTTGTCAATTGAAGAAAACTAGGAATGACACTTTTGATCTGAAAATTGTAAAAGCATGAACCAAATGCAATAGCAAACTCGTAGTGGGATATCCCTTAGAATTTTAGTCACTCCCAGTCTAGAACTAGTATAGCAATAGATCTTCATCAAGTCTCCCAACAACCAAATATGAGAACGTCCTTAGATCACTTTTCTTTTTAGTACCTCTTAATAAAATAAAGCTAAATGGTTTTGCTTTCAAAGTAACAGACTGTGAAAAATGGGATGATAAGACTCCCTCACCCTGTGCTAAGCATGATACATATTTCTTGACTTTCACGATGATGTACTTAGCACACTGCTTTCCTTGGGAGAAAGGGAGTCATACATCTTCACAGAATATGATGACTAACATTGCCTTCTGTGCAGGCTGCTCTTCCTTTATCAATAGAAATACCAACTCCATTGATTTGGAGCCTCTGATATGCATGTACTTTTTTTTTTAATCAATTTATTGGAGCTCATAAAATTCATCACAATACATAGATCAATTGTTTAAAGCACATCTATACATTTGTTGCCCTCAT